CCCAAAGGTTCTTCTGGAACAGTAAAATACGACCTTGCAGTCAAGGACAAAGGGTTGTCATTACAGTTCGCTGACCACCATGTTACTCATTGCAATCTCGCTCTGTGTCCTCTGCCTCGACCTATCGCGGAATCTAAAATGTAACAATGTGGTATTGTGTTCCTATCTAGGCTAATAACAGCCTCTGCAATCTGTTGTCTGATGACTCTGTCTATACCGGATATAAATGTGCTACATCATAGATCATCCAAGGAGCATTAATAGGGCGACCTCAAATCGCCTCCTCGTGACTTTCTAGAAGGCTAATACTAGTATTGAAAAGAGAAATGGGTTTTCTTAGCGACGAAAGGCGGATCGCTGGAACCGAGCTCCTGGTGACAAATATTGCGCTTTTTTAACCAAGGTCAATGTCTGTTTTGTAATGGGGTTTTTCAGAGTCGGGATTGTCTATCTATTGATCTTGCAAATGTTTTTTGACGATACTTGCGTAGGCTAGGCTCGTGCTTTGTCAAAAGGGTTTTCATTAAGTTAAACTGGTCGTGGAATTAGTTCTAAATTTATAACTTACTTTATAATAACAAAATAATTACTTGGCTCGAGTTTGTCAATGGACGCTGTTAGACATTACACTTGATCTGATGTTATGTCAGGGGATAATTGAATTAAATGATTCAAAGAAGGTTTCGAATGAGGTCTTCCAAAATAATGCAAGCGTAAGTTTCTGGAGATTGACATGTACTTTCGATACACACGCGCAACGTTGTAAGAGTGATCTTTCTGCACAATCTTCATTTGGGGTTCGGTGTAGCTTATGCTGACATATGTAAGTCTCGTAAGGGCGACAGCGTCGTGAGGGCGTAAGTCTTGTAAGGGCGTAAGCGTCGTGAGGGCGTAACTCTTGTAAGGGCGTAAGCGTCGTGAGGGCGTAAATCTCGTAAGGGCGTAAGTGTTTTAGTGAGTGAGTATGGTTTTACGCCGCTTTTAGCAATATTCCATAGCAATACTGTCCTGATGGTAGAAGGACAGCCAAGGATATGGTGGCTCCAGGGTAAAGGCAAAACAAGAGTCAGCATTCGTACGGACAGTGTAACGATGTTCTGACAGCACATGCTGACTTTGTGACGTCTTCAGGTAGAATACGTGAAGCCCATGTCTGGTGTTGCACTTTGTTATGTTGCTGGAATAATGTTAAATGCGGCGTAAAACCATACTCACTTGCTGTCTTGAAGTAATTCGCGTCACGTTCGGTTGTGTAATATGTACCTTGAACTAGTACCACGTTGTCCTTGTGGTACTTGTAGCTTAAAGTCAGCGTTGTTATATATGGAGGGTGGTTAGGGTCTGAGTGAGTGAGTATGGTTTTACACCGCTTTTAGCAATATTCCAGCAATATCACGGCGGGGGACACCAGAAATAGCCTTCACACATTGTACCCATGTCGGGAATCGAACCCGGGTCTTCGGCGTGACGAGCGAACGCTTTAACATCTACGCTACCCGACCGCCCCCGTAAGTGTTTTAAGTGTCGTAAGGAAGTAAGTGTTGTAAGTGTCGTAAGGGCGTAAGTGGCATAAGGAATTAAGGAAGGCCTACCATAAGCTTCAGGAATATCATTAGTATGTTCTTGGAACGTCACATGTACTTGTGACGTGGACATCTCTTATTCACAAGCATATAGAAATAGAGATAAACAAATAGGGGTTAACGTCGCGTTCAAGATTATTGTACTTGTATACATAGCGGCGTGTGTAGGTGGGTGGATGGTTGCTTGAACTCGACCAGACTTTTGCCGGCTTTGTAGTGCTAGCCCACTGAGAAACCATGCGGCAGTTTAACATGAATACCCCAATCAGAAACGGTGAACTACCAATCCTTGTATTAGCCCCTTACTGCCGAGCGCCAGGCAGGAAAACAAAAAGGTCAGGAATCGAACCACTAGACCACCGAGGCGGTCTTCTTACCAAAAGACGGTAAAATATGGTATTTGTTGTTACCCTGCCTTACTCTCGACATTAAGAGGCTAAAACAAGCAATGGTCGGTTCGGAATCATTATTATGTGTCTTCAGCAAGGTATCTCAGTTGGCTAGCACTATAAAACCACAAGTCTAGACTATTACAAACAACCACACAAAAACGGGAATGTGTGTCGCTATATAAATAAAGAAATCTTGAAGGCAACGTTAAACAACATTTGGCATCAACTCACCTATTTCCAAAGTTGGCTTCCAGTAGTGACGCATGTTGTGACCAGTGTACAACTTATTTATAGTACATAATTATGATTTACTCCCTTTGGAATACTGCCATTAGGTTTTATTTCAATGGTGTGCAAAAAGATAACGAGTGTGAATTTGGTTTAACGTCGACTTAATATTGCAGTAAACATAAAAAGCCAACGCCAGACTGTCTCGAGTATCAGCAGGAATATATAGCTGGAGGATCGTTAACGGTCGTGTTAATAAAACTTACTTGCCTTGAAACCTAAGGAACTGACAATTTGCATGGGCGATATGATATATAAACATGGACTGATCGGGCAGGTTGTACCAACTTGGTGAAACACAACGACGGATGAGAAATGATAATCTGCTGATGGGTTGAAGCATTATTTAACGTCATTAAATGCCGAACGTAAATCTGCCACTTGTCCACTAAATGTTCGCTGGCAAATTGTTAAAATTTGATAATACTAAAACACATATGCCGTTAAGAAATTCAGGAGAAGATCTTCAATCCTACATTTCAAACACGAGCAGCTATTAGATGTTATTATAAATATCTTCATTCGCCAAAACTGTTCATATGTTTTTTTCCCATAAACCTGGCCACAAAGCTGTAAATTCGCAGCCAGAAATAATATTAACTCTGTCCTCTTGTACAGATTTTTATAATTGTCGAGATCAATATATTTTAAAATAATATAAAATATTAAGACTTGATTTTCGAGTGATAGACCGAGATGACTGACCACCGGTAGCTTGCATGTATTAAACTTACGTATCAAAACGATGGGCTATTTATAATTATTATCTGTATAACCCGCTTCGCTGAGGTGTCTCCTATTTAGGTATCGAGTGAGTGAGTATGGTTCTACACTGCTTTTAACAATATTCCTGCAATTTCACGGCGGGGGACACCAGAAATGGACTTCACACATTGTACCCATGTGGAGAGTCGAACCTGGGTCTTCGGCGTGACGAGCGAACGATTTAACCACTAGGCCACTCCACCGCGTCATCTAGGTATCGATGTAAGCGCTGGTGACACACTTCAGAAGTTTGGATCTGTGGATTCTGGAAACCCTTTCAGAACGCCCGACTGGATTATCCGGCATCAATATTAATGTATTACCGAAATACAGGATAGCACTATGTCCGTGTTTGTGGGTTTCACAAAAATGGTAAATGTCTGAGACCTGCATCAATTTGGTCCATCCTCCCACATCAAATCAAGCTGACACGGAGTAATATAACTGAAATAGTGTTTGTTCAAATAGGCGTCAAACTCACTCACTCATACTGATTGGGTTGATGTTAATAAGTGAAGCGTTTCTTATCGTATCTGATGTCGACGGGGCAAGAGAGTGAACACAGCATATGATGTTATCATAACAGTAGTTCCTTTGTCAGATTACTAACCCTTACTTCAGGAAGCCCAAGGGTTTGTTTGTTTGTTTTTGTTTGTTTGTTTAACGCCGCAATATTACAGCTATATGAAGACGGTCTGTAAATAATTGAGTCAGGGCCAGGCAAACCAGTAATAAACATCATGAGCATCGATCTATGAAATTTGGATACGATGACATGCATCAGCCACGTCAGCGAGCCTGACCAAAGGATCCCGTTAATCGCAACTTATGACAAGTACGATCTTCACGGGTCCCCTAGCATTGGGAAGGCAACACAGCCAAGTGACCTTCGTCCTATGGAATCGGTTCAGATGTCACACAGGAGGTTGGTTTACACAGATCACACATTGCCAGTCCGATCGGTGTGAGGCTTAATACAATCATTACATCTTCAAAATATACTACTCAAAAGAAGTAATGACCATCCGATTCTTTCCAATTACTACAGTTAAAGTGTCGTGCCATGACAGATTAACTGTAGTAATATGAAGGCATCGGCCTCAACTTATTTTGAGTAGCATATAATTAACCCTAAAGATGTAATCACCTCCGTGATGAATATGTTCATTTTGATATACAAGGAGGGTCCAGTGTTTTCTTGCATATGGGTTAATGTAATGTGCTGAGGAAACTCCATTAAGTTATTAGCCAAGTTTACAAAAGTAACAGGTATGTAAGTTGCGAGTATGGTTTTGCGTAGCGTTTTAGCAGTATATCACGGCAGAGGACACCAGAAATGGACTACACATTGTACCCAAATGAAGAATCGAACCCGGTCTTCGGCGTGACAAGCGAACGCTTAACTACCACACTGCCTGACACGTCGATTTAGGAGATCGTATTCATTGACATCCCAGAGGTGAAAAAAACACAAACCTATATTATTGCCTATCGGGCAGGTATGCTATGCATCCGCTTGGATCCTGTTAGCAAACTGAAATTTTCCCAGAACTATACAAATATCCGAGAAATTCGAGTCGGCGGACTTCACTTCTCGTTACATATTGCATTAACCCCTCTCTGTTCCTCTGTGTGTAGAGCGTATATGCACATGGAGAAATTGAAATGATGCACGTCAGATATGTTATTTACATACCTCGCCTGGAAGGCTATATCTTTATGGCGGCGGCATAACCTGACAAGTGATTTAGAACACTACGCAATACATGCCACGCACTTATCGAAACAGATAAGGGTATTACATGAACGACTTCTTTGTAGAATAGCTATTTAGAAACCCGACTACGCACATTATAAATATGACGAACGCATTTCATATAGACCAGGGAATGTCTTGTGAAAGAATGTCTGTTTTAAGATGTGTTGGATTCCCCTGAGAATCACTCAAATTGTAAACGAAACTATCACTTACCTCGAATCGGAGTTCTCCCACAGGTGGTGCAGCAAACGGGACCCTAAAATATCGCTCAACCTTCTTGGAGCCCAGCACAGTTTTAACAAAGCCTCTGACCTGTCCATAATCGGTGTCCCGAACGACATATTCCTCAGCCCCCGACGTGATCACAAGAGCTATCAAGTAGGCCCCAACAACGAGCCCCGTCCACTGGAGTGACATCTTCCAAATGGATAGTCGTGTTTCGCGTGTATCCTATGAGCATAACCGCGCACGCGGAAGTCTCCGAGTTCCCGCCTTTGGAGATCGTCTGCTACGCTCCAGCAGACGTGAGTAACTCACCGCGCTGCATGATACCTATACCAGAACAATAGAGATGCGGTGAACGAGGAAGAGGTCCGCTGCCGGCTGCAGTCGTCTGTCCTGGTGCCAATTACCGAATATAACAGTTGTGGACTTTCTCGCCGTCACTGAACTTCGTTAGTTCCCTTGATTGAGACGAATCCACATCGACCGCACAGCATAAGTTCATCTATTTATAGTTAAGTTTTTCTTCCCTTTGAAGAAAATTAGTCTTATCGTCGGCTAACAATATCGTCTGCTTCAAATACAACCTGCCACCGCACCAGTTAATCTAGAGACGTACACTTGACAAACGAGTTTAAACATTCTTCAATTCCCCGCTACTCAACCAGTACACGGAAATTAAATTTGAAAAAGGAGCCCCCGGGAGGTTAACTATATACAACCTTCGGGTTGACGTATTGCTATGTCCCTCGCGCTTGAGAAAGCGACGATAATTTCACGAACAGCGGAACAAGCCAAGAGAATAAGAAATCCCAATATATCACGCGGTGTTGGTATTTATTGGGGCGTCATTATTGGAGATGCTTCGTTGGAAGTGCCTTGCTTTCTCTTGATTAGGAGCCGAAGAATTAGTGAGACGGCGAACGAATCCAATTCGCACATTAGCAGTGTGGCTGAAGCACTGAGATATTTTGAAATGGTCAGACGCTGACAGGCTCCGTGACTCGGCAGTGCATGACGAGACATCATCAGTCTGGAAGCTGATCGACCGCACATTATGATATTTACTCAACGCTTTTTTCACAATATGCTGAGCAGTTCCGAAAGAACATAAACATTGTCCTGTCAAAAGCAACGACCCCGAGCCTTCTCAACTAATTGTGTTGGTGAAGCCATACACGTGGAAAATCACTTAATGGAGACAGAGATTTATTGGCAGGAGAACTAAACACACTGTGTTATGCATTGACCGTATCCTCTTCTCGGAGTCGATGCATCGTTAACAAATGAATACTTGTTATCCGACCCGTGCAACCAGGTATAGACTTTTGGTATTCACATACAGGCAAAACGAACATCATGGACGAATAAACGAACTTCAAAATCAGGTTTATAAAATGTGACGAATTTCACGGATCCGTCAAGTATTATAAGCTGTTCTCATGTCCTGAAGTTCATTATTCATATGAAGTTCAGAATAAGAATGACCTACGTTATAACATTTCTTTATATCCATGGCAGACCTACAGAAGCGTTAGTGATGGATTCAGTTAGATGTGCAATATGTTCGTTATTTACCTGTAGTACGTTGTAGACATCAGATTGTAAAAAAAACTTCAGCAAGAACGTTGCCTTATTCAGCATGCGCAGAACTATATTGATCACCTGGGTGTGAGTGAATTTCGTTTGACGCCGCAGTCAGCAATATCAAGGGTATATCACGACAATGTCTCTAACATTTCATGCAAACGAGTGATCGATATCATGAGCAACTTCCAAAGCCGTCTTTGAATGATAACACGCATTGGCCATTAAAATTGGTTCTTACAACACGCATGGAGTTCTGGTGACCAGCTGATGTTTGCGTGACGACTTACTGCCATAATAACCTCGTGGTTATTCCGGGGCACAGTATGTACCCAGCACCCCATGCTCGACGTAAGATCTGACAGAAATAAAGATCGGGTGTTCACAATGTCAACCGTGTCTGGCTGTTTGCCATTCAATGTTGTAAAATGCGTACATCGTTGCTCGTGCTATCAACCCCTAGTTTGCCAGGCCAATGCTATTTACAGACAGCCGTGAATATTGCTGACTGCAGCTCTCATATCAAGTGCAAGATGTTCAGACATTGGTACTGTTGTTTGTTTGGTGTAAGGTCGCACCCAGCGATATTCAAGCTACATCACGGCAGCCAGTTAAATAATAGGGTCTGGTCGAGGCAAACCCGATATTGAAATTATGAGCAATGAGGAGTACGATGACACGCTAATCCCCAGGGCCCTGTTCCACAAAGCGATCTTAGCGCTACGATTGTCGAAAGTCAGTGTTAAAGAGTGAATGAGTGAGTATGGTTTTACGCCGCTTTTAGCAATATTCCAGCAATATCACGGCGGGGGACACCAGAAATGGGCTTCACACATTGTACCCATGTCGGGAATCGAACCCGGGTTTTCGGCGTGACGAGCGAACGCTTTAACAAATAGGCTATCCGACCGCCCCCAGTGTTAAAGAATGGGAGTTACGATCGACTTAGCGCTAAGATCACTTTGTGGAACGAGGCCCAGGAGACTGGCACTAATGCCTTAAACATATCTGCATGATATAGTTTGTTTGTTGATTAACGCCCCACTCAGCAATATTCCTGCTATATGACGGCGATCTGTAATAATTGAGTCTGGACCAGACAATCCAGTGATTGGCATCATGCGCATCGATCCACGAAATTGGGATACGTTGACATGCATCAACCAAGATAGGGAGCCTGACCACACGATCCCGTTAGTCGCCTCTTACTACAAGCATAGTCGCCTTTTACGGCAAGCATGAGTTGCTGAAGACTTATTCTACCCCGGATCTTGACGGGACCATGTAAACCATGCAAATAGAATATATTTCCTCCACCTTGATATTGTTTCATGTTTTCTATGGTGGCCAAACGCACTCTTCTGGTGAGTCTAACCAAACGTTTGGCCTGTTGTCAGAAATGTCCGCGCCCAATGCAATTTGTACTGGACAATAGGGAGAGCTCGATGTTATCATTGTGACGTCATTACACCAACCTACGTAAGGTAACACCACATGTGAATATTACCTGATAACAGGTGATTCAGGTTATCATGTTACGCGTGACTATGTTTAAATAGATAAATTCACAAGATCATATTGTTGTTCGTGTTGATACACAAGGGTCAGCCTGATCCGCGGACTCTTCATTTGGCGCTGTATATACAAGTCACGTGCATATGCCGATTGTCCTTTGGTATATTCGGATTTAACCGTCGGGTATCTTGATCAGTAAGGGTTAATATTCACCATAACGAGTGAGTGAGTATGGTTTTACCCCAGCTTGTACCAATATTCTAGCAATATCACAGCGGGCTACACCAGAAATGGGCTCCACACATTATACCCATGAGGAGAATCGAACCCAGGCCTTCGACGTGACAAGCGAAAGCTTTGCCCACTAGGCTACCCCGCCGAATATAATCTGGAATGAAAAAACACACTGTTGGCTCAGCCAGCCTCAGTAAATCATATTTGTTATTTAGCTACCTTCTCAGGGGTAAAAGTCAACTCTGATTGGGGGCACGGGTGGCCCAGTCGACTGAGGCGCCGCGTTTCGCTGTGCAGAGTTGCGTCCCTTGGGCACGCTAGAAACCTATGATTGTAGGTTCGAATCCCGGTTCGCCCCGATTATGTTTCTAGGTTTGTCACCACCATACCCGTGCTCGTGGGTTTCACCGAAGTGGTAAACGTCTGAGACCTGCAGCACTTTGGGCTTTCCTCCCAAATTAAGCTGACACGCCATGATATAACTGGAATACTGTTCAAAGCGGCGTTAAACCCAACTCATTCACTCTAATCTGATTGACTTCAGTTATTACCAAATGGATTTGTTATTTTCAGCTCGCACACACCGTAATGAGAGAGTATTTGTCGCCGTAAAGTAAATAAGACCATTTTATCATATGTATGGCTTACAATACCTTTCTCATACGGAAAGTCCGATAGGACTGACAGTGCGTGTGTGCGTGTCTGCCTGCCCGCTTTCACACCAGTGAAGGTAACCAAATAACAGATTGGAAATGTTTAGTGAAAACATTTATATCTATCTTTCTATTGAGCTGCAATATATGAGATGTCATAAGTTTAATGTGAAAGGTGAGCTTCAGTAACTATTGATAACTACAGTTGGTAATGCAACAGATTACAACATAAGCCATGTACCATTGTGTGACATCCACTAACTAATACCTTTGGAATAAAGGACCCGACTTACAAATACGAAGTTCCGAATCCAAATTCCATGGTATTGTTTTGATAGCTCAGAAACTACTTGTGTACGGGTACTCTTATCCAGGTGGACAGATCACTCTTGTTAGACTTGCTGTAACAACCAGATGATTTGTTCTTTCGAATTTGTGGGGGCCGGGGGATTTGTCATCTTCTCTATTCCATCTTTATGACGGTGGTCTGTAAATAATCGAGTCCATGAGCATCGATCTAGGCAAATGGGATACGTTGACATGAATCAACCTAGTTGGGTTTTTGTACTAAGCTGTTTTTCAAAGAAGGGCACTGGTTGCTCAGTCGTCGATGTGATGTTGATGTGGGTTCAGTGGTCTTGGGTTCGACTCCCAGTTCGACCCGATTATGTTTCTAGATGTATCAGCAAGATACAGTGCTCGTAGGTTTCACCAAAGTTGTAAACGTCTACGACCTGCATAATTTTTCCTTTACATTTATCTGATACGCCGTGGTATGATCGAAATGTTGTTCAAAGCGGCATGAAGCGTAACTAACTCACTATGTGCCCCCAATGCCAAAGTGGCAACTGATCAATCAGAGATCAAGGTTCTCTGAGGACCTTTGCGTTTGATCGCAGGTTGATGTGTAATATGCCTCATTGAATGTGTTTGAAGCTATTGTTACGTCACACGTCCTTGAACTTGGTTGCGATGTTTACCGATTGTGATACATCACAACGTTGGCAGCATATTACGTCAACTATCAGCGGCAAATAGCGGATCGAACATCCAGGAAGTAGCGGTTATGTTTACGAGTAGACTGAATTTGACCTTGTGAGAAAAAGCTGCAACACACAGTCGACATTTGGAATAAGGGATTTCTTTCCCGATGATATAATGTCGCTAACACTCTGGACGCAAAACAATCAGTCCAGAAATATTAACTATGAGTCATCGTACCTCGAAATGTTTTATCTGGTATATGAACCGATGAATTGCAATATAACCCAAACATGCATGTCATTACATAACCACAACTTTACAGCCAACCCAAAAAACACCCTTACCTGCTTTCCATTTTTAGATGACAGTCGAAACACCTTATCTTCAGAGGCTCAGGACTATCTAGTTCCCTTTCACTGATTTATCCACCTGAACTAGAAATGAAGGAGACCAGCGAGACTGCCACACCTGTTTCATAATTAGATATATGAATACAGATTCAGGGGTGACAAAACCTCTCCACTAGACTGTGCGACAAAAGGGATGATGTCAACCTTCCAATAGTCAACTTTCCCTTCATGTCCAGCAATATTCCAGCAGCTCCAGCCTTTGGTGTTTACATTTCACAATTTTGTAGGTACAATCTGGCGTGCTCTTTCTGCCA